TTTAAAGTAGATGTTGTCCTCGCCCGGCTGGAAGCTGACTTTAGTGACCAACCACCAAGTATCCCTGCAGTGCCCAACCACCAAGTATCCCTGCAGTGCCCAACCACCAAGTATCCTTGCAGTGCCCAACCAATGAGTATCCCTGCAATGCTTAACGGATGTGCCCAACCGCAAAGTGTCCCTGCAGTGCCCAACCGCAGAGTATCCTGCAGTGCCGAACTGCAAGGTATCCTGGCAGTGCCCATCCGCAGAGTATCCCTGCACTGCCGAACCGCAGAGTATCCCTGCACTGCCCAACCAATGAGTATCCCTGCAGTGCCCAACCACCAAGTATCCCTGCAGTGCCCAGCCGCAGGGTATCCTTACACTGCCCAACCGCAAAGTATCCCTGCAGTGCTCAACCACTAAGCATCCTCACAGTGCCCAACTGCAAAGTATCCCTGCAGTGCCCGGGCATTTATGCCAAAAGCGGTGCGTCCAGACATACAGAGCATACGTCGCTCAGGGAACTGCGAAATGCACCTCACTCATACTCGTAGGCTGTTTTTGCCCGATATAGCTTAGGAAATGCAAAGATCCGAGGTAATCTTACTCATCATCTTATTCAATGTGAGATACGGAGACGCAGATAAGCTAAAGTCAATGGCATGATGTGTAATTAACTGCGGCCAAGGCTCCTTAGTGACATCAATCCTTGTGAGCTGTACTACACAAGCACATTACTAGCATTCACCAGCAGTGTTCGGCAATACTTGGCATGATGCATGATGTTGCTTGGGGTGACTCGGGGTGACTATAATCACATATAATTAGGGTCACCAAGTGTCAAGTCCCACGCGTCTCGGCTGAGGATGTCCACATCTTCACATCTGCTGCTCAACAGCTCCAGATTCCTCAGCTGCGCAGCAACGACAGGGAAACTCAGCACTACTCAGCTTCAAGGAAACTTTAGATTCATGGATTCGTAAGCCTAGCTGCTTGGGGCGCTCGCGCAGTGCTGAGCGCACAGCAAACGAAACCTTCCGAATCCAAGCTGGGTTGTACTAAAGTCGTAGCGGAAGGGCATGTGCATGTGACTTGTTGGAGCAAAGTACTTCAAGGTGGGTCATGACTAAACGCACTTTCCCCTGACCTGTAATGGCTTTTTTCAATTTTCAATCTCAAGCCAAAGCACTGGCTCTCTTCCATGACGCAAACGCCAAGCAAACCGACAACGCTTCCAACAGCCTTACAGAGCCTGTGTGCCGTAGTGGCCTGGACACGTACAGCCCGACAAAGCAGGATGGGCTCCATGTGCCCCAGCCCCGGGCTTGTTTTCTTGGTCCATGCCTTGCATCACTGCTGGTCGACCACATGCGATCCCTTCTGTAGCCTTAAGCAGAAGGGCACTTGTGCATATGGTACGGGAATCAACGAAAAAGCAGGAAAGTAAAAGCACCCGCGGCCCTATAGCCTTGGTTGAGCCCATGCCCAGTCGTCAGGAATTCAAGAACGGGTGCCCTGACCAGGAAGAATTTCTTTGCTCGAAGTGAATCTGCGCGGTGCTGCCGAATGCGCACCAGCGTAGCATCAGGTCTCTCCAGCACACAAGGGACGAGAAGCCATCATCTGGTCATCCCCATGCAATTGCCCTCCTGACTCAAGGATTGCCCTTCGAACGACAAGCTGGCGGGCATCCGCAGGCTTGTTTTCCATTGAAGCTTCCAAGTCAATTCACTTGGAAGGAGACTCACAAAACGTTCCCGCCCGAAATGACTGGCCCCATCATCTGAAATCCAACTGCAAGGAGTTAGACCGATACCTGGCTCAACAGCACAGGAAGTTTTGCTGGCAGTCAGGACGCGCAGCGGAAGTAAAGCCAGCATCCACTGTGCAATGCAGCTGGACCGCTTCTCGGTACCGAATCTGCTCCCTTTGCAATGCATACGCCTCCTTCGTTCCCCCACTTCTGCACAATCACTTTTCAGTTTGTAGACTTGTACTTGAAATTTCCTGCCCCTTTGATGAGGCATGTTCACAAACATGCTCCTCTTCTCATCCTTTCCGCAATCATGTCAGGCTTTGCACAGAGATTCGCTGAGCTTGCAGAAAGCCAAAATGCTAGAACATCGAAGCGACCGGTTTAAGGGGGTCGACCTGATTCAGAGCTTAACGGAGGCGCCGGAGGTGCTCGCATTGAACATGAATTCAAATTCCCTCGAGTTCCCATAGGCTGTTTGCGGGCTATCTTTGCAATTCTGGCATGAGCAACTTCAGGTATGGGGGAATACTCACGCGCTGCTGCTCTGAGGTACAATGCACCCCCCTGCACACATACGGCACATGAACAAACACGCTGGTTACAATGCACCGCTACCTCCGTTTTGTTGATGTTTCCGTCACCATCCTGGTCAAAGGTGCTGATGTCTGACGGGAATTCAAAACCTGAGCTGCTGCCAAAGATCTTAACATCAGTTTGTCATAGTTTGTCATAAGTCTTTGACTTCCAGGCCCAAGATAACTCAACGTCAGCAATAACAGGCTGCTAGACTGCAGGACGCATCATCAGCATCGCTCTGGAAGGGAAACGCCAACTCTCATTGACATGCCAACCGCAGTAGCACCGCTTGAGGCTGTGCTGAGTTGCCAAGATGCCTTTTTCTTCCAGCTTGCCTGGTCAAGGCGCACATTCCATGATGAGGGGCCGGGCTCTACGGATACTCTGGCTGCTTGGATCAAGACCTGGCCTACCAGGGCTTTAGCCTCTTGAAGGTCTAAAGCATGGCTGCCATCAACGTCAACTTGTCCAAAGATGTCATTGATCTCCTCCTTTGCAAGGCATGCAGCGAAGGCGGCATCAATGCTCCGTTCGCTATCGTGTGGCAAGCATTCCTGCAGTATTCCTGCGTTGAGCAAGAAAGGAGACGTCTACAAATCTAGGGCGAACGTGGCCAGTATGACATGAGCCCAGCGCCTGCACAAGCGCATCCAGCTTCTTGTTGCAGGCTTCAAGACGGTTCTTGAAGCGATCAAGTTCTACCTACAAACAGGTCTCCACGAGCTACTCCAGTGCTCTAATGGCCCCTGAGCACGGTGCCTTCACTTTGGCGGAGCGTGCGCAGCAGAGATTGTTGTCAAGGATGTTGCCCATCGCAAGACACCCAATTGAACCGCTACAACACTGCCTCTCATGTAAAATCAGACTGCAATCCTCCTGCAATGAGTGTCTACATTGTCTACTAGCAATTGCCGAGTAGCGTTTTGCCGGTCTGACACATGGTAGTTTACGCGCATCTGGAAGTCTGCGGATGACTGAGGCTTCCCATGCTCAGCAAGGATGCTACACATGCAACTTGCAAGCAGCACTTTTTGCCACGCTGCTGGTGACGAGCAATCTGTCATCTGCTGCACCAGCAGTCACGCTGCCTCAAGTTCCGAGTCCTCAGTGCTGTTACACGGATGCCCTGAAGTATTTGCTAGAGAGTAGCTACAACTGCCAAGAGCAGCAACCGTGGCACACGAAGCGATCAGAGAAGCCGAGCTTTGTAGGCCGCAGCCATTGGAGTCTTCAGTGCCAGTGAGATCTCTTTACAACGTCAACTCTGGGCCCGCATCGTGCAGGCCACAATGAATGAACCGTCACACGAAACCAAAGCCACAAACAGTCTGTGGGGTGAGAGTCGGTCATAAACTGTAGCTGAGCTCCAGCTGATCAGCCATTTCTGCATCAGTTGAAGTTGATGGTAGTTGATCGTACTCTAAGCCAATCCATGGTAATTCAAGGAACCGCTCATATGCAACGAGCAATGCTTTTTTTCCGACGACAAGAACCTTCTTGAAAAAAACGCCTGGGAGTGCCATGACCATGGACTGCTCTCACAGTCATCTGGTGTGGCTGCTTTGCTGGGGAACGGATTGCTGGTAAGAAATTGGCTTGCCCTCGCTTTGCATGTCACGCATGTTTGCAATTCGGTCAGCACTAAGAACACGAAGCATGAACTACCGAAACAAGAACATGCATCTGCGCAGCAAACACAACAGGCGTTCAATTGGCGTGGTAGTCAGTCAGGTGTGAAGAAGGTTTGGCGGATTGAGGTTGCTTCATGAATTTCATGATGTCTGAGCTTCATGATGTCCAATGACCCATGGAAATACTGAAATGTGACACGGCCATGCGCGGCCCACATTCTGCTGCATCCGTCTGCGCGCTACCTTGTACGCCTCGAATGCTTCATCTAGCCAGAGATGTGAACTGAGGTCCGGTCGTCCGAAAACAGATCGCCCAGGAGTTGGTTCTGCAAGCAACGTTGTGCTGCAGCCTTGGAAAAACTGGCAGACCTTACGTGCATACGAGTGCCCTCTGCAAACGGGCACCTTGTTTTCGGCTGCGGCCGCAGCAGATTCAGCAACACGTTCTTCAGCCGATGCTGCTTCTGCTGTCCGGTGGGTGCCAGGAGGAAGCTTGTCTGATTCGCTTTGCTCTGCATTTGCAGTGGTTTCATGGCTTCGTGTGCCTGCTTCGCCATTTCTTGGACCACCTTCACCGGTGCCCATAGCTGCCATAGCCTGCTTAGCAGCCCGGTCGATCTCCTCCATATACTTATCCAACGGGTCCACATCAGCCTCACTGTTTTCAATATCTTGCGCAATGTCATTGGGTGCTGGTGACGGGTCCACAGCAGCCTTTGCAGCCAATGTTTCTTTCAGCAAGCCCGGCATATCAGAGACTGGTGATGCTGCAAGCAGTTCGGCTGAATGAAGGAACTGCCGACTCCGCAGCTGACAGAAACAGTGCACGATACGAAGGTGGCACAACAAGTCGAGGTATCGCAGCGCTGCCCTCCTGGCCCGTTGATATGTCACCCCTGCCTTTGTCGGCCACAGTCGATGCCGCGGAATTCCCTGTTGCCGATCCAGGTGCTCGCAGCTTTTCTCTGCGTCCACAACAAGTTGGCCTAGATGCTTTATGTCAGCATCATTCGCATCAGCTGCTAACTTGAGCAATATGTCCATGGCCACGGATCGGAACTCCAGACCACGGTCCAAGCTCGTTATGCTACTCGCCTGAAGTTTCATGCACGTAGTGAATCATGGGGGACATGTCTGCAAAGTTCCAATTTAGCTGAGCGTCACTCCACCATCTCCCGCTGAAGGAAGCCAAGCTTCCGTGTTGCGAAGCGCATGCCTTCATGTTTGCAAATGGCATTATATATATATATACAGTAAAGGGTGTGACGAGGATCTCACTACAGCATATGCTTGATACATACAACAGCCTAGCGCTTCGGTGTGTGGAGGTTCTTCAGAAACATCAAAGCATATCTTGCCCTGCATGCACTGCTTTCCCTCTAATGCAGAGGCATGTTGAGTTCTCAACCCTCAGATCACAAATACTCGATTTTGGCTTCTCAACTTTGGCAGGGCAGGCAGAGCAAAGAGAATGTCTCTCAGTCGAGAGAGGACATTAGAGACCGAGTTCGCTCGCCACCCATTGCTCATTCAAGGTTTGATCCTGAACTTTTTTCCTCTGGCCTGAGCCCTCCCCTGCAGCTTCAACATGTCGCACACTTCTTACATTACATAACATATGATCTTTGGTTCAAACATGTATCATGTTAGGACTGAGGTAGTTGATGCAAGGAGGCAGCCAAATGGAAGTTCCGAATCTCAGGATTATGACATCGAGCTGAATGCACCGCTGGATCCGCTGGATACACTACTAAAAGACTTGTACTTAGATGCTGCAAGGAGAAGGATGGAGAAGGGGGACCTGTCCAATTGTAATTGCTGGCAAACCACTTGTGGCTTTACTGCAATCTTCCGCTGAAACGAAGCCACGAAAGTCGTTGCCAAACCGGAGTACGAACACTGGCAAATGATGGGCGCTAACGTCAAAAACGTGCGCCGTAAACGTTGCACAAAAAATGAGCTACAAACCACGGCAGAGAACTTTCTCGCACAGCCCGAAGCCGGGACCGAGTATATCATCCTTCGCACTGAAGTCAGGTGAAATTCCATAGTCCTCACTCTCCGCAATTAGTACTTCTGAATGGGATTAAAACGTTCAAGCTCGCGCTTGCTCCAAGGACAAACGATGTGGGCCCGTGTTGGGTCTTCCTTGCTTCATCTCCTCCGTAATTAGGCATCATTTCTGTTCTTTGCTGGTTCTGCCATGTTTAAAGCTTTGGTGCCCGTTGCATCCGTGCGGATTCATTCCTGCTTGAAGTTGTGCGGCCGAGCCCGAAGCTTTGGTACAGATCTCAAAGACAACATGAAGCAGGGGAAAGTTACAACCATGCCCATCCTGCCAGAACAGCACAAAGATATATTTTCTACTCAATGCGCAATGGAACAAGCTTTTGTTGCATTGAACTCAATCGCCTGCCTCTTCAAATCCTCAGACTCTGGTACAATTGGGTGCACGTGCCTCCCACTCGTCCAAAACAGGCTCGTCGCCGGGGCGAGACTCCGAAGCGCAAAGTGCATCCTTGGACAGGCCAACTCGCATGTCTCCCGGCAGCTTCAGGTTTTTCTGAGCTGCAAGCAAAGGCCTGCGAAGCGCGGACAAAGGCCTGTTCAGCCCGCTTGTCCACGCAGCGCTCCGGGTGAATCTGGTTGACCAAGCTGCGATATCTGGCCAATAGATGTCAGTGGTTCTAAGCTTGCCTCCCAGACTTTCAAGAGTTTGGCCTCTGCAAAGCCTCTTCCGGAGATGGGCAATTAACGGAGTTGTCGCCCAGTAGTGCACCAGATGGATACCTGCTCGTCTGAGCACGATGATGTCGGCCGCTGAACTACTACTGAGGCTTTCAACTTACAGCGGGACTTTCGCGAAACCTTGCGGCCAACACCCGTCCAATCGCATCCTCCCTATCCTGAGGCTGCTCTGTGCACAAAATTGGCTGGATGCTGGTACGAATGCCAGGTGCCCCGGTGCACCTAATTGCAGTCGAAACGTCGCCCTGCTGCAGCACTGGTGGGACTTCCATGCGGGACAATAGGCTTACGGCAAGGTGTTGTTGCATGGCTGAATGCATGATGTCGCACGAATGGGACGCTGCAAGTCTAGTCCATTGCTCTGGCAAACGTCAGAAGCTCTTTGTGGCTGTATTCTCGGTGTTGAAAAAATTGAATGCATCCTGAAACTTCCATGTGACATGGTGGGCGTGTATCTCGACCGTTTCACTGCTAAATCATGCTACATCTGACCACTCTTGGGCCCCAAAATGCATCGCGCTCAATGATGTGAATCTGGATGGCAAACGAGCTGGCCTGTGTGTGTGCAAGCCCGTGCACAACCTGCCACTGCAACTGCGCCAGAATAAATGTCTCTCGGACACCGAATGATTTACTCCGCGCTGCGGCTGGCTTTCCTGGACAGAAATTGTAGCGACTGTTCCAATCCCTGGGGGAGTCTGTCAACGCCCCACTTCCTGGCCATCTGTTGGCGCAGAAAAACCACTCCTTTGGACCGGCTAGGCTGAGGCACGTGCTGAGCCATCTCTGAAACCCAAAGCGTCCAAACCTGCACACTTACGATTTCGGCGCCTAACATGTGCGAACCAATCGCCCACAGCTCCGCATGCTTGGCCTTCCCAAGCAGTTGCTCACTGAAGAGCTGGCACTTACGCGCCAGTTCCAAGGTATGTTGTCGTGCCGGGTCTGCATCAACAAGGGGGGCCACCAACAAGAACCCGTCCATGGCACGTAGAATGTCCAAAGGTAGGACAGACAAACGTGAAGCAATCAATTTTGAGACTGCATCTGCTGAAGCCGACAACAATCTCTGGTGCAAAAACTTCAATCTGCCCAAGTGTTGCGGCATGGCCACCAAATCTCGTGGATCACAGTCAGCCGCTTTGTCAGCCGTCGCATCGCAGATCTCCAGCAACAAATCTGGTTGCACAGCGGAATGTTTCCAACATCGCGCCAATGCCATGAGGACCCGCCGGAGATCACCAAAACTCAGTTCTTGGCATTGACCACGCAGCTGTTGTAAAAATGGGGCTCGGAGCAACTCAGTGGGCAAGCCGAGTCTGTCCAAAGCCAGCATTGACGTCACTATCGATTTCACACCAGCTCGAAACGACAGCGTGCGGGTGAACTCCTCAACCAGTGCTTCGTGATGAAACCGGGCCTTTGACATTGACCACAATATGCTGGCCATATCTTGCGGAGAAAGTTCTGCGTGCCTAATCAACAAGCAAATTAACTCAGCTGTGGACCCCA